TACGAGTCATGAGGTGGGAACATTACCTCTAGACTACGGAGGCCGCTACTTCTTCCCATAACTTCTTGCTCTCATTTTCCCATATCATGTTGCATTTATCGCCATTTTTTGTATTGATGGACTCAGGGTTCGATTCTCGACCCGGAGGAGAGAGTTCCTGAGTAATATTACTCCTCCAAGGCATTATTACGGCCACTTCCTTCCAAATCCTTTCTAATTCCCCATTTCCTTTAAGCCTGTCGGTAAACATTATATACATATTTGTGAGGCCGCTGTTAAATACAGGCCTACTAAGACTCGAAGAGTCATTTGCGGCGGTGACGCCGTGTATTCTGGTAAAAGTAAAGATCTGTGTGCTGCTTGCTTGGCTTATTCTTCTGCCTTGCCGATAGAAGCAGTGCATTCCTCCGAATTGTCTGCTAAATTCTATGGGACTACACGGCGTCACATCCCAGAAAATAGTACACATTTCAGTCACCACCTTCTGAACATCAAATCTCACAAAATCTATATGTCTACTGAAATATTAAATGAGATCAGAGCTTCTCACTCTGATAATTACCAATATCACAGTCTTCTGGGATGTGACACCGTGCAGTGTGGTATATGGGTTCCAACATTCCGGGGAAACCTACAGACTTTATATACAGTGTAAAAGAAAGAGTCACAGCCATAATATATTCTCGGCTTATCAATGGTGACTGACAAATTAACTAACTGCATGGAGCTGAGACCTAGGTGACAAGTCGCCGGTCGCTCAGCTACTCAAGAAACCCCAAAAATTTGCGGAACCCGAGGTTAAATACCGTGTTCACAAGAGCCCTCCACTGATCCCTAGCCTCGACTAGATGAATCCAATCCATAACACATGCCATCTCTCTAAGATTCAGGGCTAGGAGGCGGGATCGAATACCTCCACCGTAGCCCTGTGAGCCGTAGGAGGTGTCGAAAAGAGAACCCAGTGCCTGATGGTGTAATTGGGCCACCCTGTTCTGGGGGACATAAATACGGGGACCTGGTCCTCCAGGTTGGGGGGTCTCGAATCTGAGACAGAAAAATATGGTCATGAGTTCCACGGTACTAGGACCTGAGAATGACTGCGCTGGCGAAGACCAGGAGCAATTGCAAAATATAGACCCATCCAATCGTCAGAGAGGATGTTACATAAGAACTATAACACCAAGTGTTCAGTTGAAGGAAAAAAATACTGATCTTGGGTCTCAAAGGACTTGGCGTTAAGACGAACTGATTGGCGGTAAGCCGCCAGTCGTAAAGTGACTCTGACTCTGAGTCGTCGTGAGCCAGTCTGCTGATAGTTGTGAGACGCGTGAAAATGGTAGCGGAGGCTGGGGACAGTTCGGGAACCCAGGGAGAGGGAAACGTCCGTCGTTGGAAGCCGCTACTGGGTAAAGGTTAATGCATACTGAGAAGGCTTTACGTGTGCTTTAGTGCTGGAGTGCGTAAATAGGTGAGGCTGTCGTAGTTATTTGTTGCGACGTTCTTAAAGTGTTTAATAAAACCGATTACCAATCCAAACCATATCTACAGTCACTCGATCTTATGACAATATATTTGGCGAAGAGCACGAGTCATGAAGCTCCTCGTTATGCAGTTTTCTCCAACCTCCTGAGGGACCATCTCTGATCCTATGATCAGGATGTGGCGTCATGGTCCTAAAATGTTCGTCGTTTTTTACCCGACCTACACGGCCGATACCCCGAGAAGATTCCATTAACTTTAGCTGCCGTAAAAATTTCAGATCTTTTAAATCCTTAATAAAAAAGATGAAAAGGTAAAAGAAGCAAAGCTATCCCTGTAACAAATGGTGGAGGGCCATACGGTTGTGAGACGTCGAGGCTCCCACATTTTCTAGAAAACTGGCTAACAGATGGAGGTGAGGTTGACAGCATTACGCGCCGGCCGCCCTTTACCCCCCCCCCCAGGAAGATTTCTGGTACTCATTTCTGTTAGAAGTTGAGTCGACTCCAGGGCCATAGTGCCGCTGGAAGGATTAAATCAATTGAAACCTACAATGACCTAACTGGGAATCGAACCCGCGACCTTCCAGATTGTAGCACAGTGCCTCATTATGGTAACTCTGGAGATAGATTGTGGTACGTGATGCCGTGTAGTTAGAGGAAACTTCTGCCTCCTTTTGGGTATGCGTAAGCCGCGCAGGGGAAAGATCGCTGATCTAGGGGAGAGCAATGTCTGGGGCTAAGAACGAAGGAAGAGTTTCGTCCGAAACGAAGGAAAATATCTACCAGACTATATGGGGTCACACAGCATGAGACAGCATCTTCAAAGATTCCCTAGTTTTACCCACGTAGAGATCTTCCTTTCTCCACAACCTGCTCTTAATACTGTGGATCATTTAGTACGGCGGCAGAGACAGGTCTCCCTCCTGTCATGCAGGGGGTGGCAGCTAGCCAAAACCACCCCTGCACCCTGTCAGCTGCTACACAGCAGGGTGGCAAATACCTGATGCAGAAATATACGGCAGTCGAGAGTAATTTTTTCAGAAGTATTCTCCCTAATGATCTTTATTGCAAAAAACCAAGAATTCTTTCCAACTAATTATACTATTCACACTCTCAACACAAGGAATAAAAATCAGCTTCATAGACCAATTGCCAGCCTCAAATGTTTCCAGAAGAGTGCATATTATGCTGGCATTAATATCTTCAACAGTCTACCATCAAATATTACAGCTCTTATAGATAAAGAGGCACAATTTAAAGCAGCGCTAAAGAGATACTTAAGTACACACTCCTTTTACTCTGTTGAGGAATTTATGCTTTAGAATAACCCAAAGTGTATGTAATGTATGGATTTTATCGACACTTCACTACTTTTGTGAACATTTTACTACTATTGTGACTTTGTTTTCATTGGTAATTTTTTTGCAATAGTTTGATTTATTCGTGTATATGTATTGTATGATTTTTTGACTAATTCCACATCCTATGGTCTTTCTGACTAACATAAGGATCTATGGAATGCTATGTATCGTATGTATGTATGTAAGTATGTATGTATGTATGTATGTATGGCCAGAGAACCAATACCTACACAACCTTCTGCAGGAATTTCTAGGATGTTACACGTATATTTCGGTAGAATTTCGCTGCTGATGAGGAACATACTGCCTCCATCTTCAGGATTAAAGAGCAAACCAAGCAAGGAGCATGCGAGAAGCAAGTAGCGAGTTATGCTCTTAGCTTGCTACTGTTTCTTGTTTCCAGCTTGACTCACTCTTAGACCCTGAAGATGGACGAGTCAGTAAAACTGTACGGGAATGTACGGTGTCACATCCCAGAAGGATGTATTCTTCATAGGGAGAACCTCAAATTCAGTAACCCATATGAGATGAAATTTCTTAGGAAGCCAGATTTTAAGATTATTGTCTGATGGTGAGTGACACCGTGTAGTTTTGTAGAGGTATGCCAATGTTTCTGAGGATCTTCTGCCTTCGTTATCAGGACAGGGATACTAAAATGGAGGGAGAAGCTTCGTGTGAAAGTCTGGTACCAGTTTACCGGACTATACGTAATCATACCACAAGAGAGACTGATATTAATAAGAACATAGCTTTCTCTGCACAGTGGTATTCTGCAGTACGGGGACATTACATATGGAGGAATGAGGAAATCGAAGCGAGAGAAGCTCAGCCCTGCAAAATGTGGTCGAGATCAGGCTCCACTGGACCACAAAGTCATTCGGTCTCTTATTCATCCATTCATGAATTCTAATGCAAATCGATTTATTGTACGACCTAAAGACTATGATTTCATGCCTAGACATTTCTTAAATTTGAAGAAGGGGAAGAATTATTTTATATGCGTGAATTCTCATAGAAATCAGTATTACATATGCATATAGTTTTATGATAATTAGATAATTTTAATGACTCTCTTTCAGCTGCATTAGTTATAATACATTGAGTAAAAGGGAACGATGAAACTGTGTTTTAAGATAGCGAATATTGGAAGTGATGCCGTTCTATTCTGAAGATGGAGGCAGGAGTTGCTCAGAAACACTGGTACCCATACACAAAACAACATTGTGGCACCCAATCATGTGGCTTGAGCTGTAACTTTTCTGACTTGTATTCGCTGACGGGTGCGAATTCACGTTTGAGGGTTTTCTTGCTTTTCTCTCTCAAATGAACTGTTGGGATAGTGTCTCATTACGTCACCCCCACTTCCCTGCATATTCTTTCCAATTTATTACTCAAATTATCCGATCATTTGACAATATTTCCACCTATCTGAGGGTGTGACTATACACGGGTTATGGATTGTGAGTGAATTTATTGACCACTCAAACACACCACTCGGAACTTCAAGTAACTACAACACAACTGCTAATCTTCACAGTTCACATATCACCACAGCACCCGCGTAGCCTTTTCCCAGGCTGATATGTCCTCAACAGTCGTCTCCTAACAACGGCTTCTTACAGTGGATATCTCTAGCTTCCAGCGCTCACGTCGTTACTGCCCGGCGAGGATGTAATTGTTCTACTTTGCTGTCTGTTGATGACATTCCCTCACAAATATTGTAGATATATAACAGAAGGCTTCTACTGCCTCCATCTTCAGGGTAGAAGTGGAAAATGATCTCATTTATGTAGTAGATGAGTCATAATTCCTATTCTTCTCCCAGTGTCATTAGAATAAACAAACCAAGAAGAGTTAGATGGGAAGGAAACGTAGCATGCATGAGAGAGAAGTATATACAAAGTTTTGGTAGGAAAACCTGAAGAAAAGAACCAAAAGGAAAATCTAGAACTAAATGGGATCATATTAAAATGGATCTTAAAAAAATAGGATGGGAAGTTGTTAACTGGATTCACCTGGCATGGGATAGGGACCAGTGGTACAGTGAACACGGTAACGAAATTTCGGGTTCCTTAATATGCTAAGATCAACTAGCGACTTCTCAAGGACTCCGCTCCATGGAATCCTCTTGTAGGGGAGAAGCAGACAAACGACTCACCCACTGTCGTAAGCAGCATGTTGTCTAGCAGCAATGCGATAGCCACGATGACCAGCACCAGGCGTCGCGACGCCCTGCATCGCTGCAGGTAGTCGGAGAACCGTGAGCCACCCACCGGACTACAATGCTGCACCACCGTCATTCTACCTGCAACAATAAATCATCATTGACGACAAATTCTGAAGGTATGTCATACTTCGAGTAGGCGACCTTAAGATTGGAAAATCAACGGCATTTCCACTGTAGCGATTTTGGTCCACAATGTATGTAAAAGTAAGGTAAAGCTATCCCTGTAACAGGCCGTGGAGGCCAATATGGTTGTGAGACGTCGAGGTTCCCAGCCTTATGCGCCGGTCGCCCTTTACGCCCCAGGAAGATTGCTGGTACTTATTTCTGTTAGAGGCTGAGTCGACCTCAGGGCCATAATGCAGCTGGAAGGAATAGGTAAACCGAAAAATCCAATGACCTCATCAGGTATCGAACCCGCTCCCTTCCGGCTTCTAGCATAGTGCCTCAACCAACTACGCTACCGCGTGCCCACCCACTATATATCTAAACATGATCTAGTAATTCTATAATGAAGACCTTATGATCTACGTCAATGTATGACAGTGATTTGCAAAGACTGACATCAATAGAGGAAATACCAGGATTATGAATTCCATTTACAATAATATTACAGAGGAGTGAGGATATTATCTTCTTCCTTCAGCTGTCTGGCCTGTTCGCATTCAAAATTAATCAGAATCTGTGATCTTATAGACTTTTGTAGGACACCTTGGACAGGGGATCAGCCCGACCCAATGTCGCTACATCCACAGGACAACACTAACACAAGACAAACGTACATATACCTCCATGTCCCAGTGTTTGAGCAGTCGAACACATTTCATGCTTTAGCGAGGCCGAAGTGATTGACTATTAGCTACCTTACGAGCAATATTTCAGTAATTTCATTACATGACCACAAGTTCATACATATCAGTCTCTTTAGGGAAATTACTTGTCGCTGTGGTGGCCCTTTTCTCCACAATTAATTCTAAACTAATATCGCTTCTCTTCAGTGAGAACTACTGTTAACAAGAAAGGCATAAGACTCCAATACGAAATGTAGTATCTCTGTCTTTTCTTCGTGAATTCGACAGTGGTCATTACAATAATCTGTTTCCAGTTGAGGAAAAGAGGAAATCAGGCATTTTTGACGAATTTTATCTTCGTAGACATTTGCTGAAAACATTTCCTCTAAACAGTATTATGTAAGTATCGTGAAGGCCACGCCATAACTCAAGCGGTTAGTCGCTGGCTTCCCACTGAGGCGGTCCGGGTTCGATCCCGGGTCTGGTCAAGTGGGATTTGTAGTGGACAAAGTGGCACTGGGGCAGGTTTTCTCCGAGTACTTTGGTTTCCCCTGCCAATCTTCATTCCACCAATTGCTCCACAATCACCCTCACCTATTATCAGGGGCTGGTACAATAGTCCCACCCCACTAGCAATACAAAAAAGTATTGTGAATGTATCACATTTACTGTCTTAATGTTAACGTTGCTGTCCTAGCAGACAATGAACCTACGAGCCGGAAAGTCGCGGATTCGATTCCCTATGATTGCCTAGAAAATGTGGAAGACTCGACGTCTCACAAACCTATAGGCCTTCATGGCCTGTTACAAGGATATTTTTACCTTTGTACACATATACAGCATATGTGTGTGTGAAGCCGAGTTGAGATGTGAGGAAACTGAGAAAAATCTTCAAACAACTTCACGTTAACTTCTTTTCTTTATTATTAATGAAGATCAAGTTTTAATTACTTGAAGGTTCCAACAGAAGGGAGACAGTCTCTTAAAAGGCAATTTAATGCTCATCCTCTTCTAATTGCAAAGCTAATAACTTCTACTAAGACTGTAAAAATGTATGAACGAAGATAATGGAAATGTGCAGAAGTTGGTATCACTTCATGGACACGATTCATTACAGCAGTAAGCCTGCCCTAATTAGCTTTGTTGGCTTCTTTTATTTTTGTGCTGTGGCAACAAAACACTGATAAGAGACACAGTTCTACAAACTTAATCCATGACATTAAGTTCACTTAAGCTGGAAGGATTACACTCAGTTGTAAAGTAACCCCCTTGCGGGTATCGTCTTCTTTGTGAACGACATGAAAAGTCACAGACGAGTAATTCTAGAGAAACTTGGACGTGAAATCTATTTTGGACATAAAATGTCAATTCGATATTAAAATTTGACAGTTCCCATTTTAGCAATGGTTCTCGCAGAGCAGCCTTCCATTTATCCACGGTTTGTGCCCATTGAGGGACAGTTATTAGTCACGGAACCTCGGACACGTGACAATATTATATTTCAGCCTCCTGTTGCATTGATATATCACTCGTTCACTCATTTCCGTCTATAATGTAACACAAACCGCTCACAGTCTCTCCTTTGTTTTAAGATATTATTAAAATCAGTGAATAATTATGTTAAGGCCGAAACATGTTGCAATTAAATGTGTTGTTATTATGATTGTTCTATGGTTGGTAAAATCGTGGTCTCAGAGTGGCCCCCAAGGGCCATATGTAGAATTTTATAAACGGAAAGTTTAAAAGTAAAAACCTTAGCAAGGGAAAGAATTTTCAAAATTTCCCATCGAATTTTTAACAAGGTTTTCGCTGGTAGTTATTGAGACTGGGAGGAGGGGACAGAAAAAGCAGTACACATGATAACACACAGACACAAAAGTTTTCTTTTGAAGTTTCCTTACATGATCTCGATATAAGAGCGCATTCCCGTTCAAAGAGCTAGCTTATTTTCTTCCTGTCAAACGCACCCTCAGTTTGAGTAGCCATCAGATCTTAAAATGTAATTAATGTTGAATAAAACAAGAACTGATTAATTTTTTTGCGATTGAAAGACCACAGACCTTTGTATTCCGTGAAACTTATAGGCAAAGAGCAGTTACTTTTCTCTTGTTTCCTATTGGTTCGCTGTGTTCCTCGGGGACAGGCAATGAGAGCGGAAGTGTTCTCGCAACTTCCCGCCTACCCTTCATAATCATAATCATATCTTTGCCGTACGCGGTTTTATCTGCTTTCTGCCCGTTTCATACTAGTTTCATGCTTGGCTTGCTCTTCGACCACGAATATGGAGCCCTATATTCCTCAAAATTGTCGGTTAACTTTCATCGGGCCACATGGCGTTATATGCAAGAAGAAATATGGACTCAGTGAAACTCTGAATCACGAAGACGGGTCTCCTGGTTCCGAGTAACAAAATTCCCTGTGCTCATTACGGTTTACCATAAAAGAAGAATCGGGATAGCTCAGTCGATATAGCGTACGAGTTTGGCGGGCGATAGGACGACTTCGAGTCCCGGTAGGGGTAAGATTTTTCTCCTCCCTACGTTGTCCAGACCAGTTCTGGGGCCCGCCCAGCCTCCTATTCAACGGATAACGGCGGGGGGTTCCCGGGTTGTAAATCTACCAGGACGTGAAACTGATCACTCACCGGCATCTAGTGCCGAGTTTAAGAATAGATTGGATCTATACATTCGCTCCTCCACACGTCTTTGTGGCGTAGTGTTTAATTAGATAAGCAAAGGGACAACTTTACCTTTATTTAGTATGAAAGAGCCCGTTGAATTTTAAACGAGTTAAAAAGTTAAGGTTATCCCTGTGTTTATTTAACTAAGCACCAACCCATTAAGACAAATGGGGAAGTGGAGGTATAGCTCCAACATTTACGAACTCGGTATTAGATGGAGGTGAGTGGTCAGCTTCGAGCACCGGTCGCTTTTGCTTCGGGGAAAGAGCCTCGTGTACCGATTGAATAGGAGGCTGGGTGGGCCACAGAGCCGGTCTGGACGCCGTGGAGAGAAGAAAAATCTTGACCCTGCAGGGAATCTAACTCTGGCTGTTCAGCACGTAGCCCGGCGCTCTACCGACTGGGGTATCCCGGCTCCAAGGTTTCAGTACTGATTGAAACAAGCATCGCCACAAACACCTGAACTCGAGAACGTGGTTCTGGAAAGACACCGATATTTGTGCTAAGATGATGAACTAGGTAGAAACGCAGAGTGACATAAATGGTGCCGCTATCCAAAGAAGATATTTTAAGCAAAATTTGCGTATAAAATAAACTTTCTGAAAAAATATCTGACTTCAGTGAATTAAAAAGTTCTGCAGATATAACAATATTCATAGTCATCATCACTAATTGAGCTGAGCCCTTCTTGAGCACCCGCCAATTGTGCAGCTACTCAAGAATTTCCCAGCATTTTATGGAACCCGAAGGTTCATTATCGTGTTTATAAGAGCCCTCCACTGGTCCCTATCCTGAGCTAGATCAATCCAATCTATACCATGCCATCCTATCTCTCCAAGATCAGTCTTAATATTGTCCAGCAACATACGTCTTGGTCTTCCCAGTGGTCTCTTTCCATCTGGCGTTCCCACCAATATCCTATATGCATTCATCTTCTCCCCATTCCTGTTACATGCCCTGCCCGCTTCATCCTCCTTGACTTGATCATTCTAATTATACTTGGAGGAAAGTACAAGTTATGAAGCTCCTCATTATGCAGTTTTCCCCAATCTCATGTCACTTCATCTCTCTTCGGTCCAAATATGCTCCTCAACACCGTGTTCTCAAAAACCCTCAGTCTCTGTTCCTCCCTTAATGTCAGAGATAAAGTGTCACATCAATACAGAACCACAGGCAAAATTATAGTTTTGTATTTTCTAATTTTTAAGTTTCTGGACAGCAGACGAGAAGACAAAAGGTTCTGGACCGAATGGTAGCAAGCATTACCCGAGTTCAATCTCCTCTTAATTTCGTCCTGAATCAGGTTTCGATTTGTTATCGTCGTTCCCAAATATCTGAAGTGTACCCCATTTTCAAAACGTATGTCACCTATCTTCATGTCATGATTTTGCCCTGCATTTTGGTGACGAGACAGCAACATTCATAGTAAGATATTAACAACACTTGAAAGATCAACAATACACTATTAAGAGGTCCTTTTGTCTAGAGGAAATATTGTGTAAAATGTGTTTACAAGAACTAGAACTAAACTCTATGGCTTTAGTCCGCAACCGACCTATACCCACCGAGCGACTGCCGTTTGTCGGCGAAGTTAGTGGCTCGTGAGGATA